GCTGAGGGTGGCTTATGTTTACGTTATTTAGGTTTATTTTGGTTGTGGTCTTTGTTCTTGTGTGTTTCTTTGTTCTGTTATTGTTAGTGTCGTTTTTGGTCTTGTATTATTTGTTTGGACCATTTGGTCTCAGTGAGCCCGAGTGCAAACTTCTTATCCTGTTGGGACCCGCACCCGGGTATTCTCCTGTTGGGAGCGTTTTAGTTGTTTTAGTTTGTTTGTGTTTGGTGTTTCAGTGTCCGGTTAGTTGTCGCAAGTTTTTCTATTCTAGTGGTGCTAGTCGGGTTTCGAGGCGGCCTTCTGACCTGTCCTCCCACTTTTCAGCCGTTGGCTGCTTGTATTCGCACATTTGTGCATTTTGTGTTATATTATTTCTATCGTTTCGAAAAAAAAAATAATAATAAATTTGGGGGAAGAATTAAACCTATAGGTAGCTTCAGCTCTTTAAGAAAATTCATTTGGAGCATAGCTATGATTGAAATTCCCTTTGAAGGTCACAGATTCACTTGGAGCAACTTGAAGAAAGGAGCAGAATTTCTCGAAGAACGGTTGGACAGATGTTTCACCTCTCATGACTGGTTATTAAAATTCCCTCAAGGCTTGGTTTTTTCATATTCTCAGATCCTCCTCTGATCACTCTCTCTTGCTGTACAAATCAGATAAATCCTACAGAAAAGGAGAAAAAGAGGTTCTCTTTTGACCGCAGATGGGTTAAAGAAGAAGGAGTTACCGAGGTTATTGAACATGCATGGGTCAACACTACAGTAGGAAATCCTTTTTTCAGGGTCAATCAGGAAATTGCTAATACCAGAGTTTGTTTACTGAAGGGGAAGCAGTCCTTGAAACTAAACAGTGCTAAAACCATTGAAGCTTGCAGGCAGCAGATGGAGTTAATGGTTAAAGACAAAGGACTCAGAAATTGGGACAAATGGGATTAATTGAAAACACAGTTGAATAAGGCTTATAGGGATGAAGAGACCTATTGGAAGGACAAATCAAGGCACCAATGGTTTAAGGAAGGGGACAAAAATACCAAGTTTTTCCATTCCTGCACCATTCAAAGAAGAAAAACAACTTCCTGGCAAATCTTCAAAAATCAAATGGATCAGTGTGCACAAACAGAGTGGAAATTGCACAGGAGCTCATCAGGAATTTTCAGCTTACTTTTGAGTCTTTTGGGGCTAATGTTGACCTGACCATTCTTGAAGGCATTCCTTGTTCCATCTCCGAAGGAATGAATCAAGAGCTTATTAAGGAGGTTGATGATCAGGAGATAAAAAAATGCTCTCTTTCAACTAAGCCCAAATAAAGCTCTCGGACCGGATGGTATGACCCATTTCTTTTTCCAAACCTTCTGGTCTATCATTTTTGGGGCTAATGTTGACCCACCCATTCTTGAAGGCATTCCTTGTTCCATCTCCGAAGAAATGAATCAAGAGCATATTAATAAGGTTGATTGTCAGGAGATAAAAAATGCTCTCTTTCAACTAAGCCCAAATAAAGCTCCCGGACTGGATGATATGACCCCTTTCTTTTTCCAAACCTTCTGGTCTATCATTTCTGTTGATATTTATGGGGCTGTGAAATTCTTTTTCTCTACTTGTAATCTGTTGGGTTCGATATACCGTACGGAACAGAGTTTACAGCGGAATTTAAAATTTTATAAGTATTTATCTTATAAATACTTATTCCGTACATA